AAAAAGGGAATCGTGTTTGTTAAATAAACAACCCATCCCAGCGTTGCAGACACGTGTCGCCCTACGAGATGTTGGTGGTGGAGGGGATCCCCATTACCCGTAAAGCGCTTTGAGTGGAGTGTCCAGAAAAGCGCTATATAAGTGTAAGCAATTATTATTATTATTATAGATGTGAGCAAGCGCAATCCTACTCCTGTTCTTCGGCTGGGGAGCCCCCAAACCCCTCATGCTTCACCGAGAAACGACAACACCACAGCAAGCTCTTCACCTCCCCGGGAGGCGCATCAGGCGCATAAAATAAAGACGACAATGGAGCAAGTCAAGGTTTATTCCATGCTGAGAAGAAACGCAAGGTGGAGCCTTTCTTCAGGTGTGACATATGGAATAAACCTGGACTTGCCCCTTTGCAGCCTACCCGTGCTGACGCTGCTACCTACTCCACCGAACTACGAAAGACTACAATTCCCAGCAGGCCACTCCGCCCAGAGCCCCCGGATGTGGGGGCGTCGGAAATCTCGCGTCCTGCGCGGAAAATCCCGGGCGAGGCCTCGCGAGACGCGCCGCGCTGACCAGGGCTGTGTCTCGCGCACTCGCAGCTCGGTATATAAAGGAGGGCGGCGGAGCGCGGAGGACGGCTGGACAGCGCAGCCCTTGGGACTAGTATAAGTGCATAGTATTTTAATTTCTTTTAAAAAAAAAACCCAAGCCGAATTGGGTGGGGGGGGTTCTTTTAAATATCGGATTTAGATGTTTTAGTCTCTGACGTTTCCGTTTTGTTTTTAGCAGTGGGTTTTGGTTGTTTTTTTTTTTCACACACTCATTCAGAAAGATTGCAGTCAAGTGATTGGACAGGTTTTCACACATGCAGGTAATTATTCGTGGGTCAATTGACTTTGGTAGCAGTCATTAGTTTTTTTTATGCTGCAGTGGCCAGAGAGACCTGGATAATTTAATATCGCGCTTCAATCATACATCTTATTTGTCTTCAAATAATGCAGCTAATGAGACCCATTTCTCTTAAGGAACTGGGGTTTTTGAAATTAATTTATTGTGCACGTGTTTTTGAGGTAGAACTCAAATGAACTAGCATCTGAAAGCTGTACTCTTAAAGATATCCTGCTGTTGCTCCTGTTTTATTCTTTGTGATGGAATAAAAGTTTAAGATACACGTTTCGTATGATGTGTCGTTTTTTCTTCTATCTGCTTCTAATTTTTTTTTTGTGTATTGACAGAATACAATCTCAGTTTTTAACATGTGTTCGTCTTTGCAGTGGTACTGTATACCACGGCTTTAAAGATCTGCAATACAGTTTAGATACCTTGAAGCTTGACATAATATAAAAGCCCTTTGACCCACTTCAAAAACATGCAGAGCTGCTGGAGAAAGACGTCCCGCACGTCAAACAGCAGGACGAGGAATCACCCCGGTGCCCAGCAGACAAGAGTGCGCTATCCCATCCTGGGACCAGACTGCGCACCTGCCCTGCCCGGGTCGGAACCGAAGCTTGAGCGGTTCTGGAAACAGTCAGCTTCCCAGCAACCTCACGAAAAGCCCGCCCGTTGATTCGGTGCGGTATGATACAGTAAAGTACTTTTTTCTACAAGTAACGGCACAGCGGCGGCAGACCAAGTCTATCCGACTCACGCCGAGAAAGAGCTGCATCAGCGTCTTCGCTTGGATGTGTAGTCACGGATCGGACTTGGCAATGTTTTTGTCTGTGTTGCTGTGTTTTAGATCCCATTACAACGCCGTAACGATAGCTTAGTTCCTACCCTCCCCCACCCCAGTACTCAGTGGTCCAACTGGGGGGGGG